TCAGGTAGGGAAGTACTTTAAGTACCAAAAATAGAATGTGTTATTTAACCCTAAAACTGTTAAGGAGCCATTAGAGTTTACCATGCAGCCACAAGACCCATATGTCCAATGATCCAAGCACTTAGATTTTGTGGCTGCCTTCAGAAACTCTGTCCACTGCTTAAGCAGGAGTTGACAAGGTAGATAACTGGGGTCAGCCGGGTAATTTAAAAGGGTATGAAGAAGTTAATAGCAGAATATATTTCATAGAAATGGGCAGCTAAGTGATGCAGTAGGGCCTGGAGTCAGGAAGTCTCCCCAAGTTCAAATCTGGCCTCAGACACTTACTAGCTGTGTGACCCTGGTCAAATCACTTAGCCCTGTTTGCCTCGTTCTCCTCATTGGTAAAATGAGCTGGAGAAGGAAATGGCAAACTACTTCAGTATCTTTGCCAAGAAAATCCCAAAAGGGGTCAGGAAGAGTTGAACACAACTGAATAACAACAGATATCCTAGAAATGGCTTGCTATAGGGTCAAAACCTTTAAGAAGGGTGGTAGCTAAAAGGCATGTTAGCCAAACAAGGAAGCCCTGATGTGACAATGAGAGCGAAAAGGAGGTTCAGGAATAATTGAGTTTGAATGAACAGACAATATAAATAGTATCAGATTAGGCTGAAAAGACAGCACCAGATTTTGATGAGCCTAGGCAATCTCAGATGGTTATCTTTTAAAAAATGGAGCTGTCTTAGATCTTTGCATTGCTGAGAAGAATTAAGTCTATCAAAATTAGTCATTGCACAATGTTGCTGTCACTGTGTACAACGTTCTCCTGCTTCAAGCACCAGTAATTTAAAATCAGCATTAGATATTCAATTTTTGACTTAGAAGCTTTCAAAATATACCCTTCATATAAATCCCTAAAAGTATTTCTGGGCATCTTCCCCAAATCTTTTTCCATGTTGTCTATCCTATTGTTATCTTTCCTGACCCCATCACTTGCTAGTGCCTTCCCCACCAACATTATTACACTATACATATTTTGTACATACTTATATATGTACATGCTGTTCCCTCAATAGAATGTAAGCCTCCTGAGGGCAGAGATTAGTTTACTTTTGTCTTTGTATCCCTGCACCCTAGCACAGGTCTTGTTACATAGAAGGTATTTGATTAAATGCTTGTTGTTTGATTATTAATCTCTCTTAGAGTCCTTATATTCCCCCAAATGGGTCTTCCGGACTTTCTTGTCTCCCCTGTATCTTCACCCCCTTCTATTTAGCATGTGATCTCTTCCTCAATTTTACAGAGAAGATTGAGTACTCCAATTTAGGTTGTTTAACCCCCTTTGGTAAGACTGTGCAGTACAGTGGAAGAAGGTTGGATTTGGAATCAATGCACCTGGATTCAGATTGCCTTGCCACCTGTGGGAACTGAGGCAAGTCCTTTAAACTCTCTTGGCCTCAATTTCCTCATCTGTAAAATGAGGAAGTTTGATTAGATGACCTCTAATCTCCCTTCCAACTCTAAATCTATGATCTACAAATCTATGACCTTAAAATCTATATCTTCTTTCATAGTCTCCTCTTTCTCTCTGCTCCTTATAATAATGTTTCTTAGTTCTTGGTGTCCTTGGCCTTTAAACTGTTGACCACCTTCTCCATCTCGATTTCTCTCCTCTCATGTTTTGTATTCTTTGTTCTGCTCCTACTTCACTGAGCATTGCTCTGTTCTCTCTGCTTTCTCCTTTGGCAAATTTTCTTCTTATACTTTCAACTCTCTAGGAATAACTCCAAAATCTGTATCTCTAACTCTGACCTCTCACTTATCTCTAGTCATGCAACTTACAGGGATCTCAAACTGAACTCATTATTTCCCTTCTGAAGCTGGTGAAGTAGGACTTGTGCTAAATTTAGAATCAGAGGAACTGGATTCAAATCTTGGCCCTGCTACTCTGTGCCTTTGGATAAGTCTTTCTTGCTACTCTGGACTTCAGTTTTCTCATCAGTAAAATGAAGAATTTAGACTAGGTAAGCTATAAAGTCCATGGTCCTATAAGCCTTCTGCATAACTTCCCTAATTCCGTTGATAACTGCTCTAATTCAGGCCTCTTACTTAGACTATTACAATAGCTTTCTACCTGGTCCTTCCATCTTTCTCCTCCCCATTCTTCATCACCATTGCTAATCTAAACATCTTTATGCATTGGTCTGACCATGCCACTCTACTGAACAGCCTGGTATTCAAGTGCCACAATAATGGAACTCCAATCTACCTTTCCAAATTAATTTTATTTACTCATTGTACACTCTAGCCAGTTTTGGGCTATTTCCTGAGCCCATCCCACCTTGCTTCTGTCTGTGAACATCTCTCATTCTTGAAATAAGTTTATATTCCTTCAATGCACAGTTCTGGAGATACCTCTTCACTGATATATTTACTGATTCTGCAAGCTAGAAGTTATTCCTCCACACCTTATAATTTGTTCTCTCCATGTTAAAAGACTTGACCAAGGTCATACAGTTAGTTAATGGCAGTCTAGACTAGAACTCAGGTCTTTTGGTTTTCAGTTCATTACTCTTTTAAAAAATGGTTTTTTTTACTTCTTTCTTTACTTGACAAGCATTAAATTAACGTGAATAATTTATGTGTAAAGAACAGAAAAGGGAGCTATATATGAAACTATGAATATCCCAAGTGTGCTTTTTTTAAAAAATGTTTAATACATTCCAGCATGTTAATTTTAGATCTGTGTTGTTTTGCTGAGTCTCCCTCTGAACTTGCACACTCTTCTGTGTATTTTTAAGTGCTTCAGTAACCATATTTTTGTTCTTTTTTTGGACATCTTTATTGCTCCCTCTCATTCCTCCAAATCTCTTCCCTCTTGTATTAAAACACAGTAGCAGCCGCCCAACAGCAACAAAGCCTCCTTTGTGACAAATAAGCATAGTCAAGCAAAACAAATCCATACATAGACTTTACACAAAATTGTGTGTGTTATTTTGCATATTTTGAGTTGTCATCAGTGATTGTATTGATCAGTGTCCTTGTCTTTAAAAACTGTTTTTCTTTACGATGTTGTATTTACTGTATATATTGTTTTCTTGATTCTACTCATTAATCTCTGTATCAATTCATAGAAGTCATCCCATGTTTCTCTAAATCCACCTTTTCCCTCAATAACATTTTATTAAGGGTTTATTACCTTTTTTTGTGTCACGGCTCTATTTAACAGTCTGGGGAACCCTATGAACCCCTTTCAGAATAATAATTTTTTAAAAATCATAATTAAAGGAAATGCTAAATTTCAGTTAGAGGTTGAAAATAAAGATGTAATTTTTTTCCCATCCAAGTTTACAGACCCCTTGAAACCTAATCGGGACCTCTATATATTTTTGGAGTATTCATTACTTTTTCATGTAATCATTTAATATCTTGTGCTAAAGTTATTTGCATTTATATTTTAATCCCTCATTAGATTGTAAGCTCCTTGATTACAGGGACAGTGATTTGTTTGTTTTTTCATTGTTATATACTCAATGCCTAGTACAGTAGTTTGCATAAAGTAAGCATTTCATAAATGATTGTTGAATTGGGTTGAAATGAAATCATACCCGTCTCTTAAAGCACAGTACAAATGCTACTTCTTCCATGAAGTCTTCTCAGATCCCAGGAATCAATGTAAGTTTTTTTTTTAATTAACAAACATGAATAAATATATATACAAAGAACATAAGAAGATTATATATGAAACTGAGCTCCTATTACATTCAGTTTTTTAAAATGTGTATTATTTTCAACATGATAATATCAAAAGAGGCATACTTGGCTGACTTCCATTCTAAACTTTCTTCTGTTCCCTTGCATATTTTTAATGTTTCATTGAAGCTCATTTTTTCATCACTATTAATACCTACCCATGTACTGTCCTCCCCATCTTCCCCCAAAATGAAAGCCCTCCTTTGTGACAAACAGGTATAGTCAAACCAAATTCATACATTGTTCATGTCTGAAAATGTGTGCAGAATTATTCTGTATTTTCTGAGTTCACATAAGACTGCATTTCTTTTATGTACCTATTATGTATTTTTTTGCATTATAGTTACTTTTTTTTTATATTGCCCTACTACCCCAAATTGAGGAGGGGTCACAAAAAGACAGACTCGACTGAATGACTAAACAACCAGACTGTAATATAAATACAGTAAGGGAAGGCTTGTGTTTTGGCTAAACCATGTATGTCCCCAGGGGTAAGTATGGTACTCTCCACCTAGCAGGCACTTAGAAATCTGTTTGTTGGATTTATCTAAGGATTTATTTGTTTAGAGAGGAATTATGTTTTGAAAGATGTCTTATGTGTTTCAAGGAATGAAAATCAGGAGACCTGGTTTCTACTCTGGGCTCTGCTGTTAACTAGCCATATGGCTCTTAGCAAGTCCTTTGATATCTATGGGCCCCAGTTTCCTTACCTGTAAGATGGTGGGGTTGTATTAGATGATCCTCCATCAATAAATCATGAAGTATTTATTAAATACCTCCTATGAACCAGGCACTATGTTGTGTACTAGGGATATAAGTAGAAAAAGATGACACAATCTCTACTTGAAATGAGATTTGTTCTTTGATTCTTTGATTTCTCAGTTACCTGCCAGTGATAGCCTTCTCCTTACTCACCTCAGAATCTGCTGCCCTGCTCTAGCCTCCCTTTGTTTTCTGCAAATTCCCATTCAGAAGGAAGAGGAGCATAGTAGCTTCCAGATCAGCATTACTCCCCATTGCTCCCCATTCGTCCTCCACACACATTCATTACCTGCACTGTCATTCCTCCTACCCATCCCTAAAGATCAAAAGATTGTGAGGGTAAATTGAAAGTAGCTTTAATTAAGCTCGAATTTGTGAAAAATAGGTTTTGTCATTTTTTAAATTACCAACTAAAGTTTAAAATAACTTCACAAAGGGCATTAAAGTATGAAAGCCTTTGCCAAAACAAATTTGGGCTTTGCTGTTATGTTTTCCCTTTTTAGAATATGAAGCTGAGCAGCCTCCCTTTCCAGAAGGGTATAAAGTAAAACAACAGCCTGTGATTACTGTGAGTATTATTCAGTCCCTGACTTTCACTAACAGTTTTTTGGTTGAAGAGGCAATATAAACTTCTTTGCGGCACTAAATACTAAATAAATACTGAAATTATGCACTAGCAACTTGAGAATTTTTGAGAATTCTCTTAAAATTTGAGAATTCTGTTAATTGTTCTATCACAAAAGAAGAAGTTGCTCTTCAGTACTTGTAGCCTAAATTATTAACAAAAACTTATCTTATACTTGGATAGTTAACAGGCTTGTGACATGTTTAGAAATGCATTAACTCTTCTATGCCATTGAAGTAGATTTAGTAAGTGGATTGTTCTGGGAAATCAAAATCTACTCAACTTCGTTCAACAGCGTATACGGGTTTTGTTTGTTATGCATATATAGTGGGAAATACAAGATGAATGAAACATGGTCTTCAAGGAACTTACAGCATGAATAACTCTTTAAAAGTAAGAAAGTAGGAAGGTTGATGTAAAGCATCACCTACACAAATAATACTTTACCTTTGGTGCCAAGTAAACTAACTTCCTTGCTGGAGCTACCCTCACAACTTCTTTCACAGTGTCCTCACAGTGGAAAAGCAGTGTGTTGAACTTCAAAAAGAACAGAAGTGTGGACACCTGTCTTTTTATCACTTCTCTGTTATTAATTTACTGTTACCTTGGTGCTACTTAACACTCTGGGCCTCAGTTGCCACATCTGTAAAGAGAAAGCTGGATGATCTCTAAGGTTCTTTCCAGCTCAAACATTCTAAGGCAAGTCCACAGTAAGCAGATTTTGTTTTCAGTTTGACTGAAGAAATAAACTGCCTTTTAAATAAAGGGCTCTAAAGGGCAGCTAGTTGGTGCAGTGGATAGAGCACCAGCCCTGAAGTCAGGAGTACCCGAGTTCAAATCTGGCCTCAGACCAAATACTTGACACTTACTAGCTGTGTGACCATGGGCAAGTCACTTAACCCCCCAATTGCCTTAAAAAAAATAAATAAAAGTAAGGGTCTCTGTAATGTCCCATACTTTGCTTAGTGTGTCTTTTTTTTTTTAACTTTACCATGCTTTGTTATCTCTTCCTGCACTTTTGTCTATTAAGAAAACCTAGAAAAGTGGATTCAGCCACATGTGGAGGCTGGGTCAGATTTTGTACTCAAAGAGAAATGTCCAAGTCCTACTTTATTAAATATGTAGAGGATGTGTCTAGGAGGAGCAAGGTCAAGGTTAAGAAGTTAACAAGGTTAAAGAATGAAGTTTTTGTTTTGACATTGTAGATGTCCTCTAACACAAAGGGGCAAGCAGCTGCATTTGAGATTTTGGTTCTGACATTCATGGTATATGAATTCTCATTGCTACCAAATTAAGGCTAATTGATTTTTACACTAATTCAGTTTATTAGTTTCAGAGCGCTTGAGCTATATTCCCGGGGAATACTAGGCCTTTAAATAGGGGAGTTAGGGAGAGGGAGAGAAACTGAGCTGAGAGACACAGATGAGAAGGGCTACAGAGACTTGGAACTCTCTTCCATCAAGGGGAAGCCTGTGCATCTTCCAGGCTTCAGCAAGAGCCATTTAGCACCACAAGAGGAGTCAGGCACAGAAAAAACAGTGATTGCTAGTGGCAGAACAATGGAGTAGCCTCGTAACAAGCCCTGTAAGAAGAATTCCAGGTCAGCACTAAGCTCCTAATCCAAGGTTCCTCAAGAAGACAGGGAATTCCTGGACAGTATTGAGTTATAAGACTAAGTCTCCTAGAGAGAAGAGGTGAAACTCTGGACAATGGCAAATTCCTAGGCCCATCAGGAGAATTCCTGGATGAAAAAAGGCCTGTTAGCAATAAGGAACAGACCATGATTGTAGAAGAGCAAAACTTGCACTTTATTAGTGCTGCATTGTGTGGACTGTACAGGTCTCAGGGAAGGGGTTTGACCCTAGTGACCTGAAATGCTTTTTCCTTTGGGGGAAGATGGGTATAAAGCCAGGGTAGTCCTTTGGAGACTATGGAAACCTACCAAAGAGGAAAGCAGAATTGTTCTATTTATGGATCCTGGATTTATTTTGGGGGATTTCTCATTAAGTATTCTCTTTTTTGACTTATTCTTTCAATGAAGATTTCCACTGGGAGCATTGGAATTTATCTTGTGTCTTGGTCTCTCCAGAAAGTATAAAGGACCCTCAGGGATCATGAAAACACTCAGTCAAACAATACATCGAATACAAGACTGGCTCTTTTTAATTGGACAAAGTTTCAAAATAGAAAGAGCTAACATAAATAGTCAAGACAACTCTCCTTTCCCTCAAAGGGTTACCCTGGAGGTAAAACTCTCCCAGAAGAAGAAAGCTTGGGGAGTCACTTGGAACAGTTCTGGGCCACAGGTTATAAATAATGTTGTTCAACATATTTCTTGTACCACTTAACTGAAATTTCCTTGGTTGTATTTTACCTCACATGCACCTATTTCTCTTTTGTTTAGTAGATGTATACATTTATCTTTGGAGAATGTGTGCAATATTGCCTGGTTTATTGGTTGGTCAGAAAACTGTGTCAGGAACGTGTACCTAAGTTTGATGTGACAAGGCATCCAAATGGAAATGTACAGCAAGCTACCTACCTTTTGGTAGAGAGGTGATGGACTCAGAATGCAGATTTACATGTATATGTATTGGCATGGCTGATGTGGAAATTTGTTTTGCTTGATTATACCTATTTGTTATAAGGATTTTCTTTTTTTATTGGAAGAAAAAGAAAGTAGATTTTTGTATTTAAAAATTTAATTTAGAAAATAAATCCACATCAGATAGAGATAAGGAACTAGTGTTTAGGAGAGATATAAATTTGGCAGTCATCACATATGTAAGTGACCATTGAAACCCTGAAAATAGATGCACTCTTTGAATTTACAAGAAGAGAAGGCTAAGGGACTAAGCCTTGCTAAACACCTATCCTAAGACAGCAGGTGGAAAAAGGGAAGTTAACAGAGGAAGAGAGGAAAGAAGTAGTCAGTGAGGTATATAGGGAAAGAACAAAAATAGTCTAGGTATTGTAGAAGCCAGAGAAAGACAATTTCAAGAGGGAGTGGGCAAGGTTAAGTATGTCACAAGTAGCAGAAAGTCAAACAGAATAAGGATAGAGAAGAAGCCATAAAATTTGATAATTAGTTATTCATTAGTGATACTAGAGAAAGCATCAGTTTCAGTAGAGTGATAGGGATGCTGGGCACATTTCAGGTCTTTAGCAAGACTTGAAGGGCTTTCAGAAACTTGTAACTACCCCACAGGCAGCCTATTCCACTTTTGGAAAGTTCTAATCGTTATATTTTTCCTCATACTGGACTTAAATGTGCTTCTCTGCAGCTCCTACCCATTGCTGCTAGTTCTACATCTACATATCAACCTTTCTTATAGTTAAGCAGATCCCTCTCTAAGACTTCTCTCCTATTGGACAGCTCCTTCTCCTTTAATCAATCCATATGGCATCTATACATGTGCCCTTAATTCCATCTTTCCTCATCTTTCTCCCTACTTTGGGTCTATCTCATCTCCTACTTGGACTATTGCAGTAGTCTCCTACTCAGTCTCCCTGCCTCAAGTCTTTCTATTTCAATCCAGCTTTCACACTTGGCCCTATCACTTCCCTGCTTGGTAAAAACTCCAGGTGCTCCCTCTTGTCTCAAGGATCAAATATCAATAATGCCTTCTAGCTCCTCTAGCATTTGAAGCCCTTTACAGCCTGGTTGAAGTTTACCTTTCCAGTCTCATGCCACATTAGTCCCCTTCACGCACACTGTTGTCCAGCAAATCTGGCCTGTTTACTCTTACTACATGGGACTCCCGTCTCTAAGCCTGTGCACAGACTGTACCTCATTCCTGCAATGAGCCTCCTCCTCACCTCTTCCTATTGTTACTCTTAGTTTTCTTCAAGGCTCTGCTCATAAACCATCTTCTGCTTGAAGTTTTTTCTGATCCTTCTCCAGCTACTAGTACCTTATACTAAAATTGTTGTTGTTGTTATTCAGTCATGTCTCTGGGAAATTATAGGAGTAGAACAATATCTGTATTGCCAGACTTTATCAATGTCTTGATTAGTTTTGATGAATGTTTTTTTTTCCTCTTTTATTTTTTGTTACAAGGGATGGTTTTCTGGGGAGGAGAGATATTTGGAAATGAAGGTGATAAAAACAAAGGATACCTGTTAAAATATTTTTTAAAAGAATTTTCCTCTTGAAAACTTTTGATTCTTTCTGAAGTGACTTTTCCTTTAGAGTGCCAAGCTGTGGGATTCTCCCTGTATTTTGTCCAAGTCCTTTGATATCTGTAATCCAAAACGTAGGGGTTCATGTCATATCATGTTTGGCTTTTCTCTCCTCTGTTACAAATCCTAAAATGGAGTGTTCACTTTGCTGCAAGGTTCTAATCATTTACATTTCAGCAACCAGTTTTTCTTTATTGGTAAAAATTAGATCCAGAATAGTAGTTGCCCTTGTCACAACAAATATTCAGATAGTTGAAGTCCCCCATCCCTTTAGATTATGTCTTTAGGCTAGGCTTATAATCTGTTTTCTGTATTTCTCATTTATTCCCTCTTTCTGCTCAGGTAATCTGTAATATTACTTTCCTTTCTGCCTCTGTTGATCTTCATCCAGATGTTCTCTGTTGTATTCCCACCCTTCTTCCTGTGTGTTGCGATGGGTATATCTTCTTAATACTTGCTTAGTATTTATTACTATAATATAATATATTAATGCTATAATATAATATAATATAATATAATATAATATAATATAATATAATATAATATAATATAATATAATATAATATAATATAATATAATATAATATAATATAATATATATATTAGTATATATATATATCTTCTTAGTACTTGCTCATAACCACACAACTAATAGTAACTGGAGCCAGGATGGGAGCCCAGGATGATCGCAAATACAGTTCTCATTATATAAGTATCTGATAATTTTTTTTTTTTACAGCATGCTCAGTGGTAATATCTTTGCACATATATGAGGTAGGAACTGGATCTGTGATGTCATTGATATAAGGAATTTCATACTATATGGCTTTTGTCAATATAGAAAGGCATAAAAACCTAATTGCTTATGATTACAATACCATTGTAATCATTAAAAAAGAAATTGCAGCATCTTGGTCACCAGAAAGACATTTAATATTGAATTCTATGTGATTCTATAACGGAAAACCAAACTATTTATACCATATATGTAAATTGATTTTTAAAGGTTTCTGCTCCATTGGAGGCAACAGTTTTCCCAGGTTTAAGTCCAGAACACTTTTTTCAAGTTACCCCAAATTATGCCATTGTCCAAGATGTACCTTGTGTAGCACCTGAAGCTCCAGAAGTTTTTGACCCCAAAACATGTAAGTAAGATCATAAGAAAATATCGTTTCTGGTTTCCCTTTGACACTACGATAGAGCATTGGTTGGGTACCCTGAGGAGGAAAAAAATCAAAAGAGGGTCACATGAGTTAAAAAAGAAACTTAGTTTATTTTTAATTTTTGAAGGGGAAAAATATTTCACTTTTTTTTAAAGTTGTACTTCAGTTCTTCGAGGGTGCATGATTTTATTGTTTCAGACATTATCTCCACTCATGCTGATTGATTCTTAGCCCTCATCATCCTCATAGGCTTCTTGATGCGCTGCTGTGGCTGAAAAATTCATTCATATATTCTGTCAGTGAGTCTCTCTGAACTTAACTGGTTCTTAGAAGACACACATAGTTGATCACTGGGCCCATCCATAACTTTGCAGTTTGGCAGATCCTACCAGGAATTGTGCCATGCCAGCATCCACACTAAGAAAGAGCATCAGAATAGGTCTGGAGAGGAGGCTTCTTAGGTGAAGAAAAACTTAGTTTAAAAATGATGTTCTTTATTTGTTGTATTTACTCAGTAAGCAGGACAAATGACACATAGATTTACTTAGCTGCCTAATAAATATTTACTGAATTGAATGTGCATATGCACACGTACACTTTAATGGTATATGATGGACATTTAGATAAGTAAGGGAGGTGGGAAGCAAAGAGGAAGAATGATAGAAAGATGTACAAAGACCCTGACAAAGAGACACATGGGGTGGGTGGCTCAGGAGGTCTTCTGATAAATATCTTTTCTTCTCTCTGTTTTTCACTTGGGTGCTGGGCATCAATGGTTTGTTAGGAGTTTTTCTGTATCTTATTTTTATTTTAATTTTACTTTTTCTTTTCGATTTTCAAATATTTATTTCTTCTTTCTCCCACCTTACTGGAGAAAGAAAAAAGAAAAAAACAAAACCCTTGAAACAAATAGACAAGCAAAATTAATAACCAATGCAATAAATCATGGGCACCAATGTTATTACCTGTTATTACTAAACTTTGAAATATTGTTGTGCTAACAATTTCTACACTTTTACATACCAGATCTATGCAGCTACAATTATTCAACAATTATTCATCTGGGTTCTGAAAGGAGTACAAACACTTGACAGGCTTTACCAAGTTTTTTAGTATCTAGGCCCAGCAATGTACTTTATAGCTGTTATGTGTAGACCAGGGTAGCTAAGTGTAGAAAGGCTCATCCCCAGGTTGGCTGCTGGATGATAAAGTTTTTGGCCACAGCCCTTCTCAGAGATCACCTCTGAAGTTATATAAAGATTGTGATCTGGGACAATGGAGGGAGTCAATCACACCGTTAAAAGCACAAATCCTGTAAGTTCTTAAGTATACATATAAATAGTCATACATATGTAATTATTTCTATACTGGAAAATTCTTTTTTCTTTTTAAAATTAAAATTTTTTTTTTCAAATAAAGGTCTGTTTTCCTATGAAAAAAATCTGGGGCTTTGGATTTTGTAAAGGAATTACTTAGTTTTTATAATCTTATTTTTTAATTTTGGCAGTTATTAGTTAATTTATTAGCTCCCTACCTTGAAATCTCTGTTAGCAAAAGCTACTTAATAATTAGTCAGTCAATAAGTATTAAGCACTATGTTAGACTGTATGGATATAAATACACCAAATCAAACAATTTCTACTTGCAAGGGCTAACAGTCTACTAGAGAAGAACAAATATATATATATATATATATATATATATATACATATATATATATATGTGTGTGTGTGTGTGTGTGTGTGTGTGTATGTATATAGAATAAATATAAAGAGAACAAATTAAAACAGATACAAAGTAGCTAATACAAGGTAGTTTGAGAAGAGAGGGCATGAGCAACTGAGTATCAAATAAAGGTGTAGAAGGTGGTGCTTGAGATGCACAGTGAAGTAAAAGAGGGGGTTCTATGAGGCCAACTGAAGGGAGTGCCTTCCAAGCATGGAGGATAGCCAATACAAAGGCATGTAAGGTGGTGGGATGGAATTGGAATGTCATTGTTGTGAGTGAAGAACAGAGGGAAGACCAGTTTGGTTGGAATATAGAGTGCAGGAAGGGAGATTGTCCCATGAGACAGAAATAATAGATTGGGATTACCTTGTGAAGGGCATTACAAGCTAAAGAGAGGAATTTGTATTTTATTATTGATTCAATAGGAAGTTACTGGAGTTTATTAAGTAGGGGAGTGACATGGTCAGATCTATGTTTAAGAAAAATTACTTTGGCAGTGGTATGGAGGATGGATTTTAGTGGGGAGAAATTTGAGACAGGGAGACCAATTAGAAAGCTGTTGCAGTTATCTTGGCAATAGGTTATGAATGAAAAAGTGTTTATAAAACACAGTACAAAATGTTACATTAAGCACTGAGACAACATATTCAGTGAAAATCTCACTTTTCTTCAAGTTGACAGTAATAGATGAAATGTATTTTTAATTGTTGTTAATAGCATGTCATTATTATAATTTTTTTCTAGGTTCTCCCAGAGAATATCTAGAAAATTTTATATTTCCAGTGTTGCTTCCTGGAATGGCTAACCTACTTCATCAAGCTAAGAAGGAAAAATGTTTCGAGGTCAGTTGCTTTTTTTTTTTTAAGAGATAGCAGCTTTGCCATTAACTTGTCTTTCTCAAAATGACAAAAACCTTACTATATTGGGGATCATTTTATTCATTTTAGTGATGTGGCTATTATACTTTTTGTCATAAGAAATATTGATTTTTTTCCCTGCATATATTTTTAAATTTCTAGTGACTTTAAGTCATTGTGCTCATTCCATAGGACCGTTCTGAAATCTTTAAGTGTATTTAGTGTAAATGTCTGTCCAATTTGATACTACTAATGCATATTCCACATTTTTGATTAACACTAGAGGGCACTCAGCTGAAGGAGACTATAAATAGAAAAATTTGATTTAAAAAATAATTACAATATGTGATCTTAGAATACTGATTTTCAAATCCAGGTTATCACTCACTATCACTCTTGCAATTTGAGTACCACAATAAGTGGAGGTTTTAGTTCAGCTCAAGGAAGTATTCAATGCCTCATGTTCTATATGACTCTCCTACAACTGCTTCAGAGAGAATGTGATTATTTGTAATATGCCTGAAGTCACCAACATATAAGCATTTTTAATCCTTCCTTGTAGATTATTTTCCTTTAGCTTTTCTAGTTTCTTTCAACATAGGGTTTATAATCCATTTATTATGATGAATTTTCCTGTATTTATTGCTAACATGGGAGAAGATATGGTTTTATTTTGTTTTTGGTTTGGTATGTTCAGTTTGTTTTCTCCTCATAATATTGAACACTGGACATTATTAAATATAATAAGTGAAACACAGGCAAAAGGCAATCATACTTTTGAAGGTTGTTACCTGAGCAACTGAGAATAATGGGTGGTAGGGATGGGATACTTGTGCTCATTAAAGTCAACTGAATATTGGCTGTGATAAGAGTGGCTGTGGTGGTTCATTTACTCAATCAACTATTTTTCACCTTTGGGCATTTGTTTCTTTAGGAAACATTGGCTGAATGCCCATTATGTGCAAACCACTGTGCTAATATGCTGTGTTAGAAATGGTCAGTACTGATTTGGCCATGGAAATTCACCTCATAACCCTGGAGAACTCCTCATTGCACTGTATACCATTTATAGTAATTTGCCAAGTTGTTTTGTTCTATAGATAAAATAGTTCTAATTTATTCCAACTTGAAAGTCAGCAAAATCAGCCCAAAGGACAATAAATTAGAACTTTATGTTGAAGGTTGCATAACAATGTTTCCTATAAATGATTTTGCACAGGGTATTGGTATGCTGGTTTTTTTAGCCTCTAGCAAGTAATAACATGGTTTTAAAAAATCAGTACTTTTTATATTTATAATGAACTTTAATTAATTGTTCTTATTGGATCAACTCATATTTCATCTTTGATATGTTCCAAATAATTCCATTCCAAAGCTGTTGATGAAAACTGCTTAGAAGTTAACTACCACAAGGTGCCTAGATGAAATTTTAAGGTTAAAATTTTTTTTATTCCCCCTCAAAGAATGAAAAAATTATGTTTCTTAAAACTATATTAACCTGCTTGCCCACTAGGCTTACCTAGTACTAACTTTTTACTAACTAGTACCTAATATTACCTTGTGTTACTAGTGTAACCTGGTATTACTTTTGAGCTACTATTGAATTGAAATGTTACAAATGTACTCAGTGACTCAGTTAACCCGGTTGGTTTTTGTCTTTTTCAACTTCATATTTCACTTTCAAATTTAGCATCCACATGTACTTTTTTCCATTCCTACTATCTTTTGTAGATTTTCTTTATGAATATTTCAAAAATGATGTTATTGATGATTCAATACTTGAGACCTATGTTTGGTTCCCTTCAACCAGATCTGTTGTACAAGTTTACATTTTATAAATTAAGCTTTTCTCCCCACACAGTGTAGATAGAGGTTTTAAGCTGAATAACAATATATACAACCTGCTAAAGTACAAAAGATGTGTCCTGTGCCATCTGCAGCTTAAGTTTCACACAACATATCTGACAACTACAAAACACCTGTTGTTTGTTGTGATTTAAATTGTTTTCTTAAAAAAATCTATGTTAAAAGCATTTATAGTAACGAAAGTGCAATTGCTTACTTGTAAATTTTCTTGGAAATGCTATCTCCTCCACCCACCATTTTGTCTACAGTAGAGATTCACAGATCTTTATACAGTAATTTCCCTCCCAGTAGGATAGGAGCCCCTTGAGAGCAAGTAGTGTTTTTCATTTTTGTATCTCTAGCATTTAGCATAGTGTTCTTATGCATACAGTGATGTGCAAATTACTGGGGTCAAGGTAAAACACTTAAATTTTCTTATATAATAAACCTTACAACTTTTTACATCTTTAAAAAACTTTTCATATACGATATGTTCTTTCTTGCAGACCCTTGTTCTATTCAATTTGGTGATGAGGTTAAAAGATTTTGACGTATATTCTTTAATTATTGGAACAGCTGGGTGACCCAGTGAATAGAGCACTGGGTCTGGAATAAAAAATACCTCAGTTCAATTCTGCCCTCAGATACTTACTAACTGTTTGACTCTAGGCAAGTAATTTAACCTCCATTTGCTTCAGTTTCCTCATCTGTAAAATGGGATAATATAGCACCTACCTTGCAGGTTTGTTGTGAAGATAAAATGAGATATTTTTAAAGCACTCAGTACAGTGCCTGACACATAGTAGGCACTCTAAAAATGTTAGCTGTGTTGATGATGATAATGAAACCACACATTGGATATTAATCTTACCTTTGATGAATAGTCCATTTTCCCAAGTCTAGTCAACATGACCTTGTACCATGCCAAACATCACAAAAGTTTAAGAAATTTATGTAAGAGATGAAGATAAATATGTATCAGCAGACTGGGAATTTGCCTGATTTAAACACTATTGAAAATCTATGGACTTTAGTCAAGATTAGACTTGGAAAAATGGACTGCCAAAAAGGAGGACATATTGCATATGAAAAGTTTTTCAAAGACATAAAAAGTTGTAAGGTTTATTGTATAAGGAAATAAATTTAAGTATTTTCTTTACCTTGACCCCAGTAATTTGCACACCACTGTATGCCAAAACACTATGCTAAGTACTAGGGACACTAAATTAAAAAACAGCATTGGCTCTCATGGAGCTTCTATCCTACTGGAAGGATACTTACTATACAAAGATATGTAGATCTGTAGTGTAGACAAAATGGTGCACTGAACATGAACTAAAACAGATTTACAATGGGAAAGAAAGAATAAAAAGTTAGTTTTTTGTAAAAATAATGGATGAAACTTGAGGGACATCAGCATGGAGCAGTAGAAAGAGAACTAGGGGAACGGGGTTCAAATCCTATCTCAGATACTTATCTAGTTGAGCTATCTATCTATCAATCTATCTATCTGTCTATCTATCTATCTATCTATCTATCTATCTATCTATCTATCTATCTGTCTGTTATTTTTATCTAATGCCATTGTCTTAACTCAAGCTCACTGTGTTACACTTACTTCATCTGTAAAATGAGGGCATTGGACTTACCCCCCAAAGTCCCTTATAGCCCTAAATCTGTGATCCTTTGATCCTATAGGTATATCTTCAGAGAAACAACAGACGCTATATGAATGTTTCCTTTAAGTATGCCCTGACTAATGTAGCATGTGAGGCTTAAATCATTGTAAATGAATGTAGGTCATAATATAACATTTTTTCTTTCTAATAAATTTTTTAAAAAATTATAATTTTGAGTCACTAAACAGGTGATAGGTATGCTTTTCATTGGATATTAGAGTTCTAGTCAAGTGATTGTTTCTTGATGAAATCATAATTTTCTGTCAGTTTAGATAAAATGACTTACTATTAATGAAATTTAGCATTTTTACTGGATAGTTAAATAAATAGACTTAACTTTATGAAGTAATTTACTAATATCTTAGACATACAGGTAGCATAGCAATACTTTCTCATATTAGTCTTAATTTGATGAAAAATATGATGCCATGAGCACTATTACAAGAAGAAAAGGGAAGTTTTTTATTCTTCAGAAGTTATATAATTGTGGAGAAATTTGAAATTTTGAAAGAGTAGCTCATGATTAAAATTTTAAAGTCATAAATAACTTGAAACGTATAAAGTATCAATATAATATCTATCAGAGGGAAACTAAGTAACACAGTGGATAGGGCACTGGCCTTGGAGTTAGGAGGATCTGAGTTCAAACGTGACCTCAGATACTCACTAGCTATATGACCCTAGGCAAGTCATTTAACCTGAATTGCCCCTACATATACATAAGTATCTATGTATCTATGTACACACACACACACACACACATATACACATACACATATGTGTATGTGTATATATATATTATATATATAAATTTATCAGACTATGGAAGACAAATCATGATAACATAGATGCTTTAGTTTCACTTATTGAAACCAGAAAGGAGAGAGTTTCAAGGAGAATGAAATAGTCAAACGTCCTTTAAAGAGAATTGGGACTGCAATTTGTATTCTTGGATTCTAATATTGCTATTTTCCTTCTGTAATATACAATTATTCTTTGTTTCTAATTCTTTGTTTTTCATCCTTAATTCATATCCCCTTATTCTAAGTATTTCATCTAGTATTCTACTCCTTGTTTTTACAGATTGGTTTTGGACAGCTTCTATATTGATCTTGATTAACATATATTTGTCCAAGTTATATAAACCACTTAGCACACACTGCCTAAATATTTCTTTTTGCTTTTTTTTCTCTACTGCTTCTCCGGTCTCTCCTCATCTCCCTGTTCATTTGTTTTCTTTTCTCTCTTGCAGCCACCCAGTAGAGAATTTTTAAGCTAAACAACAACTAAACAATATCTTCACTGTTCCTGCATGCCTAAGTATGCATAACACGGCTAAGCTTATCCAGAATGGAAGGACAACATGATTTCTTCCATGTTATTTCTTTGCATCAAAAGTGATTAAGTCTGTATGCATTGCACTCATATGTAAGATAATTTGCCTATTTTTAAAGTGCATAT